ATATATATATATATATATTGAGTTTGCAAGCACGTGAAGTACATTTACCTGGGAAAGCTTGTTCAATTTTCTCCCTGTTGTCCAGCCATTTCTGGCAACGATCTTCGTCATTGCTCGTGTTACCGATAGAATTCGATCCCTTCAGTATGTCATGATTGTCCTTCGCGGAATCGTTTTGTAGCGCTTCGAACAGTTTTGCCAGAAGAGTGTTTAAACCTTCGTACTCCTCTTCGTCTAGAGACTCTGTGTTTGTATCATAAATGTCCGCGTTTTCGCTTCTACTTGTCCGACTCCGAAAGAGTATATCCATATCCGCGAAGTTTTCGCCGGAAAGATTGATTTCTTCAGGAGATTCCGATTCAGAAATTAACGTAGTTTCTTCATTTTTTTCTTTCGTTAAAGTACTTGATTCCGCGTTCGACTTTATATGATCGCTTCGGCGATATCTGGTTTGTATGAGATGAAACTTCTCATCTTTGTCTTCAGGTGATATAAACAAACGTTGAAGCGGTGAATCGAGTAATCGTTTCTGAATTTTCATCTCGTTTGCTTTATGTTCGACATCTAATGTTGTTTTAGAATTCCTTATCTGAAAAGCAGAAGGATAATTCCTTAAATTCATTTATCTCGGTTGCGATATTTTTATGTTGCTGTAATCGAAAGATAAGTTCTATAAACTGGAAATTATAGAAAATGAAAAGTAAATCTATCTAAAGTTCGTTTCCGAGTACGATTATATTTTTTCCGAAAGTATCTTTTTTCTATATCTGTGTATAATATTGAAACGTGATTATTTATTCGTGTATAGTTTTACGATTTGCCCGAATTCTGCGAAAGATGTTATTCGATCATTAAAATTACATCGATAAATATTGCTGATGTGATACAGATTACTGGACTTGTTTTCTTCGTGTAAACGTAGTTTGATCGGAAACACATCCATTCGAATCCGCGTATTAAGAGGCAATTCATCAAAGAAAAGAGACCGATGACCGGCGTGACTATGCGATACGTAAAAGGCTGACACGATCGCGACGACATCAAAGAACGCCGGCGTTTGGCGCATGGATAGAACGGTGGAGGGGAAGAAAAGGGACGACGATCCCCGAGCGGGGGAGAGAAGTTTACTTCTGAGAAACGGCACGCCGCAAGATCGTTTCCCGTCAATGGCGTAGCCGCCTGCCGGTAGCGAGGCGGATTTTGGAATTTGCCGAATAAAATTTGAGGAAAAAGAATGACGGTAAGAAAAATTTTCGTAGCATACTTCACAGAATTTTAGCGAAAATTCAATTTGTCTTATCTTCAAGATCGATGAAAATTCTTTATTAAAATCAAGAAAAGATAAAAAAAAAGAAATTCATAATGAATTGTGAACAATGAAGAGAATTAGAATACTAATCGTCTACTTTGAAAGACTATGTATTTGCGAGATAATAACGGAAACAAGATGTGAAATCTCTCGATTAATGTTTTCCCATAAATCGCTATCAGTTAGAGATTTAAAAGAAAAGGGATATCGCCGTTTTTTTTTAGGTATACGAATCAGAAATATCAAATCAAAACTTGAGAATAGATATGCTAATATGACGAGTAACAGTTGGAAAAGATAATTCAAGTGACTTAATCCACTAAGAAAGGGTTTCGAATAAATCAAGTACAAAGTGTAGAGTTTTCCGTTGCTAGCGCGGTTATTTGTTTCTATTTCATTGTTTAACTTGATAATCTCTGCAGAATTACTAGTTCCAGTACTTACTTGATAATTCTTGTCATTGAACGGAATCGCTAAAATCGAGGGAAAAATTGCCGCGAGGCAAATTATACGTAGCGCTCTCATTTTGTCAATATGCAATTCGTTTCTCAGGACCACAGCATTCCTCTTCTTAGACATTCGACGTTCCAAACATTTACTTCGTACTACCATACCACAACACACGATCGATATTAAATAATACACGGCAAATCATTCGGTCATTGCTGTCTGCTTTTCTCTTCATCGAAAATTCTTCGCTTTCCTTTCGTATTGTCGTCTCTTGAGCGGTGTTTGTTGACGATCTCGGGAGTCGACGTCCGCGTTTGTTTACCGCCGCATTCCTCGCGCGCCGAATACGAAGAGCACCGTACGGGACGTAGGGAGGCGAAAGCACTGATGACGCGTGATGTAAAACGGACGATATAGCAAAAGAACGAAGAGGCCGAAGGGTCGAGAGAAGATCCCAAGGGGGGAAAAGGTAGGCGCACGCGGCGTGCACCGTTCAAAGGCCTACCACTATGTGCATAGTTGTGAACCGGTGAAGAGTCTGTCTCACTATAATAGCCAGCGGTGGACAGAGGGATCGAGTTGTTGTGCGCTATGTGGTACAGTCGCGTGCATTAATGGTATCCGTTTCGTCCTCGTTTATGAAAGAATGGTTCGCGATTCGCGTTCTTCCTTTCGTTCTTTCGCGACCACGAGATACTTCGAATCGATTAGCGCAATTAACTTTCTAAGACAAAAACTAACTTTTTGAAATATTATAGAGAGAAATGGATCGTTGAGTGTGGACGTATCGGGCACCATTAATGCACGCAGCTGTACAGCACGCGGCCTAAGACCGTTCGGTTTCCCTTTTCGGTTCCGCCGCATGCTTTTCTCACTTTACTTCCCTTTCTTCTTCTTTAAGGATATCGGTTTTCTGTTTAAAGGAATGCTACTGTTCTTCTCTTCTACCACCTTTTACCTCTTTTTCTTCTACTTTCTCCAATTGTTTTCCCGATCATCGAAGATTTTTTTTCAAGTTTGGAGCAGAATTTTGTATGATTTCAAAGGACATCTCTGTACTTGTCCGCTAGATTTTTTGCTTCTCGTTCATTCTATAGACATAGCGATAAAGTTTATTTTTCTTGGACGATCGACTATTCTTATCGCAGGAATTAATTAGCTCCGTGATCTTGGTAAATATCTTATTTTTTTATAATTATCACAATTAATATTTTGCTAGGTCAAATTCGCGGTCTCATGTAATAAAAAAAAAAAGAGTTTAGCAGTATCCTAATTTAATCAAAGGATGGAAAATACGAATCTTTGCATCCGCATTTATTCTTTGTCCTTGTTGCGTTAGAATCTTTCCGCGTTCGTCCCTTCCCTCCTCTCTTCCTCTCTCTCTCTCTCTCTCTCTTTCTCTCTCTCTCTCTCTCTCTTTCCCCAAAGCATTTTTGATAATGAGATTTTTTGCCGTATATATATGTATGTATGTATGTATATATGTATATATATATGTATGTATATATGTCACGGCGCGCGGGGATTTAAATACAACAACAGTGGAATGCAGCGAAACGCGTTCCGGTTATTTTTAGTCGGGCAGATTCGAAAATACACCCACCGCGGATTAAATATAGTCTCAGGATGCAGGAGCGGAATGCAGTATAGCGGCACGCGAACGATCTCGGGTGTCGTGCGAAACGATATGCAAATTCACGAGTCGCGTGTAAGCTCGGTGCTATTACAGGGACGAAATATGGATACTCTGTATCGATATCCGCGTATCGAAGAGAAGATGTAGTAATGCTATAGATACGACGATATCGAATACGAAAGTACTTGGTACCTTCAAGTATATTATATCATTATTATCACACACACATATACACACACTCCGCGATGAGTCAATTATTATTATTTTAGTAGATATTTTATATAATATCGAGATATTTAATTTTTATATTAGAGAAAAAAAGACGAAAAAAAAATACACATTTTTTGGAGCAATATCACTTCTTTTATTATGATTTTGAAGATGCAATGCAATTTTGATTTTTTCGTCGGTATGATTCGGAAGAATAAAATAACGAGGATTGATGTACTGTCACGCGTTTTAAGAAAAAAGGAGAAGGGGTAGATGAATATAAAATTAGACTGAATAATGAGATCTGTTATAGTGGCATGTGCGCTAAAAACGAAGGAGGTCACGCTACACGGGGGGAAAACAAGCTGGGGGGAGGGGGAAGGGGACAAAGTCACAAATGAACGAATTTGTCGAACGAATTCACGTAATCACCCGCAATCTCGTTCAATTCTACGAGATTGCGCGACCTCACCGCGGGACGATTATTTAATCGAGAGATCAAGACGGCGTCTGGTTTTACTCAATCTTGGAGACCTCAAGGCTGATTATGACGTTAATAAAAAGAGGACTTCAGAATATTACTAAAATACACAATACTCCAGATTGTATTGTGCGTGCATTCTTCTCGAATATTGAGACGTGAAACGGTCATTGTTGAGCCAGCTTTTGCCGATATATATATGTCTGTGATGATACCAGGAAAGACCGATAGCTACGATCTTGCATTCCGCGACTGCATTACTGCAATCCCAAACTATTACTGCGGCGCCAAACTCGTCGTCGACGGATGCTGTTGCTGTCAATTTACAGCGCCTATAAATTCTCGCCTCGATTTTGCGCACGAAAATGAGCCGAAAGACATCCCAGATCGGATGAAGCTTTGGCGTTACTAGAATTTTTATTTGTGTCGCGAAGAAGGCATCGCAGAACGATAAAACGATACGATGCAATCATCATATCCTGTGGAATTAAATCCCGCGTCGTTCCTTCTTTTCGGAGATTTTTCTTAACGCAGGAGAAGGTTGGTGGAATTTGTTTGTCAATAATTTTCGAACCACAATAACGTGGCTAAAATATTATATATTTTGTTTTTGTGCTCTCGCTTGGCTATAAATAAATTCGGCGAAACGCGCGTTATATACATGTACATAGTTGGACAGTCTAATGTCTAATCCTTCATTCAGATTCGATCATAATTTAACGGCGCTACGACTTAAATAGTACTAATATAGATATACATACATATATATACTCGTTAATACACACACCGCGTGTCATACGCTCTTGGGAATGTTCTTATATACAAGTAGCTGTGTTATAGCATATCGATTTAAGAATTCGAATAAATCTCTCTGAAAATGACAGTGCTAAGAGAACTCTCCGTGTTGAAGGCAATGATTAATAATACAAAGAGTTTTAGTTTGTGTACTGAAATCCCTTAAATAATTGAATTACAGAAAAATTAAAGAACAATACGATCAGCCAACAGTGTAACTATTTACATTAAAAACCAGCTACTTCCTTAACTTTTTAGGTGTGATTGTATATGAAATAATTTGCAATAAAAAGAGGAAACATCAGCGATTATAAATGATTAACTCATTATTTTATGCCAATTATAAAAACATAAAAGAATTTTTATATTATACATTACAGTATATAATTTTGTCAGATTTACATTTATCGAGATTTCTCTATTTATGTCGATGCCCGGTCCCCTCTATTTTTTAAATACCACCGTTTCCTCTCGCAACATTTAATCATGTCTCTCTGCGATCAGATTCGGGATTCACGAGAAAATCGTTGCTTAACGACATCCGCAACGTTCCGCGACCATGTCCTCGTAGTTCTTGAGCACGACGTTCTCGCTGTCGAAGAAGAGGATGCTGATACTCTCCAGTTTGATCGGCACGCAGCAGGGTTTCTCGACATCCTTCACCAGGCCCACTTTGTGCACGATCGCCTGTATCGTCGCGTGATTCGTCGGCCGTTGATCCTGACTGAGAGGTGATTCGCACACACCCTTACATTGATAAGCGGAGTAGCCGGGCGGCGCGATTATCGAGGACAGCCCGATATCCTGGAAGTCGACGTAGAGCTCGTGTCTCGTGCATGTCTCGGTCGTATTCGGTTGTATCGTTATCGTGTTTTCATTATCCGCCGAACGACGCTGTCTTGTAATCGATTGATTACGCGCCATCCGACCTAGCCGCTCGCGAAACTCCGCCCTCTCGTAAATATCCATTGATGTCAAGATTCTCGGGATCTTCTTCGTGTGATTCTTCGACACGATTCTGGCGATGTGCTTCTTGGGTGACGCGACATCGCGACGATGACGCCTCATCGCCGCTCCTAACGTCAATGTTTCCGATTCCTGATCTTGAGAATCGTCGTAATCGTCAGGTTCATTCTTTTCCCGTTCCTTATTCTTCCTTTCGCGTCTCTTTTTTTGCCGCTGGAAGAATTCTGGCTCGCGCCTGTTATCCGCCAGCAAAACTTCCTCGGGTTGACCGTCTTCTCTTAGTCTCTTGAATCTGCTGTAGTGCTTCGGCTCGTTATAGTCGTCTTTCAAATTAATCTCTTCATCTTCTTTCTTCTCCTCCTTGTAATCTTCCTTCTCCTCACTCTCTTCTTCCTTGCTCTCTTCCTCTACCTCGCGGTCCTCTTTGTCGTCCTGATTTCCGTAAGTGTAATACGAAGGTTTGCTGGATCGATTATGATTGCTGTTAACATCATCGAAGAGCACCAATATTGGCTGCTTGTTGTGATGATAATCGTTTCGACGAGAAAATTCTACTGACACTTTGTTCTCGAACAGATTCGATACCGTCACCAGAAGGCCCAGATTTGGCTCGCCGTTCAACCATGCGAGAACGGCTTGTGTTACGTCGAACACCTATTCAAATTTCATCATGTCAAATAGTAATGCATTATATATATTTAACAACATTATATATATATTTAATGAACATAATCATTTGTTTTTTGAAGGGTTTGAATTTTACAAATAATTCGATAAATTGTCGACATTAGCAATTATTTACCGAAAGTTATGTTTAAAAATAAAAGAGAAAAAATAATTTCTCGAGAGAGCTTTTCCCGATAGTCATAGGATGTATCGTATGTTATTAAAATTTAGATGAATAATATTAAATATTTATAGAGATATAATTAGAAGCTTGAAATATTCTTAAAAATTGTGAAAGTCTATAATATAAAAAAAAAAGCACACGAAGTATTTTTGACAGAAATTTTGTTATTAATCAATTAATTGATGAAAGATTTAGTAGATGGAAAAAAATAATTATTAATGAAAAGAGAGGAAAGAATGTTTACCTGCCAACCGAAAGCGTGCACACCAACATAATAAACATCTAGCAATTTGTGAAGATTCGGCGCGTCTAGGCTGCGGTCGTCCAAGATTTGATACAGTCTTATCTACGCATAAATAAATGTCAAGTGTCAGTTTATATTTGACATGGGTTGATTGAAAGAGAACGTACATTAGAGAATGACGTGTCGACGACACGACACTGATAGTACCAGCCACTTACCAGATAATAAGGATATGAAGGAAAATTCTCCATTGGCGTTTTTTTCCGATAAAGATGTAGCTCGGCCCCCAGTACCGATTCGTTTATCTCCAGACCCGAGACGTTGAAGAAATAGAAGTTCGGTAGGGAAGTGTCTACGCGCGATAAGAAAAATGTTGTTAGATTGTTGTGATTAGTCTTCCTGCATTTTTACGATAAACTCATCGAAAGATATCCTTTCGAAAATACGGATCGAAAAAAGAACGAAAATTACCCCTTTCGATGAAACTGCGCACGAGCTTAGCGTTGTAGGGATTCTGGCTTTGCGTGTTTCCGCTGGAATCGGTGACGGTATTATAGAGTTCCATCATGAATTGCGGTACTTTGTGATGGGCCAGATTCTCACTCTGATTCCGAATACCGAGAATCTGTCAATGCAAAATTTTAACAGCTATTTGTAATTTATCGCGACAGACAATGAATTCGAATGTATCGATGTATCGCATTTGGTTTCGTAGGGGGAAAAAAAACATAAAAGCGAAGAATTTTCAAAAAATTTGATATCAAAAAACATATTTTGCAATATAATGCTTTGAATATAATAAACGCTCGTAATTACCGCGAAATAACAAATATGAGTTGACTGATGCTAATTTTGAATTCAGATTATTGCATTATTCATTGCACACGCGACTCGACTCGTGTTAACGTTTACGGTGTTTGAAGCACTATACGTCGAAAAGCACTTTATCATGATTTATCATTCACACAAACCTCTTGTATTTTTTTCAGAACCTTCTCTCGGGGTGCGCGATTGTTCTCTTCTAATTGGTCGAAGGATGCCCATGACAAATCTTTGAGTCCTCGCTGATGGCCATTCTTACTTTCAAGGAAGTCTAGTTTCGGATATGCGTTAACATCGCTCAGAGATATTAGCACCGACAATAGCAGTAACAACCAGGACAGGACGTTTCTCATCATCACTGTCGAAATGAATATTCACGTGTGAAAAAAAAAGGTAAATCACGGACCCACAATTTTTGGGAAATTGCATGCGAAAATCAATCGCGCATCAACTATGCTTTCATTGCGATCGAAGGATGTCAACCAGCGTCTTCCTTAATCGTTTTTATTCGGTATCCAGAAAGACAAAAAAAAGGTGACTCGCGTAATAGAGTTGGAGTAGACTTTACCGAACCGAACGAGAAGCTAAGTGCCATATGGGAGATCTTGGCTGCGTGGAGTCACCTTTATGCTACGCCGGGTTACCTCCCCCGCGACTCGTTCGCCCCTCCGCAGCATGGACTCTTCTCGCTCTTCTCTCTCGCTGTTATTGGGCACAACCGACCCCGCGGATCGCCACTTTGTCGACATTCGCTTTCGTCAACGTTAATCCTTTAACCCACTGGCAAGACTCGTAAAGTACGCATCAAGTTTATTTATTTGTACATAAGTTACATGAAATATTCATAAAACGCGCTAAATTTTCACAATGCACACGAAGAAGAATGCATCGAGTAGGTTGAAAGAGATCTTATAAATATACGTTCTCATTAAAAAGCAATGGAAGATTTAACGACATAAAAGATATTCTTATTGAGAAATATTTTAACTCTAATATATTCGCGTTATATTCTCAGATTTTGATATGATACCTTTTTAGGGAAAAAAGGATAATTGATTTTTCCGACTGATTTATAAGAGAGGCGATTTACGAGGTGTTTTTTACGATGCATTGATCGCGATTTAATTGTTCGAGATCGATGATAGAGAAGGGAGACTCTAAAAAAATCGAGAGATACGAGGTCACGTTCCGACGATGACAGTGTGTGGCTATTAAAAACAGCGGGCGCTTCCTAAATTCCGCGGATTCGTAAGTGTCGAGTTATGTGATTTGTCACGCACCGATATTTAGGTGGATTTGAAGTCCGATGTCGACGATATTTATCGCTTTCTAACGAGAAACTCGCGAAAATCATTATTTATCCTGCTAAAATTTCGTCGATTTATTTTAATATAGTTTTGTATCTAATTTGAATCTTTGCATGTGCCCTTTTCCGTCTCCTCCTTGCACACACACATTGTCGATGAATAATTGCGTTATGTAAATATTTCGCACAATAAACATTCACCGACGTAGAAGATAGTCATCGCATGCCAAATTCGTAAGAGATGTGGCGAGAAATTGTTAAACACACAATAGTGCGCTATACTTATTATACTCATCTATTAGTAGAATTTTTACCAATTCTTTTTCTTTTTTTTTAACGCATTTGATCGATTCTTATTATAGTCAACGCTTTCCTATTGATACATCCTGCTGACATTAGAGAGAATCAAGCGCTCGAAGGAATTGGCTCTTCCATGTTAATACATGGTCATAATATAGGTAAAAAACTATACGACAAATTATAAAGCCATTTTATTACCACCGATAGATATGCTAGGATTTAGGAAGCAAGCGTGAAACAAGGAGCGGGAAGAGTATTGATCTCGCTCCTTGAAGAAAATATTGTTGATTTATTTAGCCATGATAGATTAGTACATAATGCACTTAGGAACATGAGTGTGCAAAGTATTATATATCTAACACACCATCGTATATATTTCTCTCTTTCTCGTCCTTGATTCGATTTGAACATGACTGACTGCTGTAATTTCAATTTAGATGCAGGCACATTGAGTGATCTGAATTATTTCTCTCTTCGCACCTCGTCGGGTTCTAAATTCAAAACATGACACTTTAAATATTTATTTTGTACGTGAAATTGTCGGATTAAAACATTTGAAAAATATTAAAATGTCTCGGATTGAAACATTTGAAAAATGTGTAAAATTTGTTTATTCTTATACGAAACATATACGTAGATAAATACGTAGATAAATAGAAATAATCGTAAATTACTCTACCTGTACTCGTGCACCTTAAATGTGGTTGGTGTACAGGTATGTTGCTTCGAATATAGACCAGCTAGACATCTATATGGCTCTTTTTTATCACGCAAAAGGCATGTTTCCGTCTCGTTTCCCGGACATGTTCCGACGCATTGTCCGACATTTATTTGCTGTCGAAAGCAATGGAGATTAAATTGTGATGTGTCATCAGGTACAAAAAAATTCAAGTATCGGTGGTATCGAGGTACAATAGGAAAGATAAAGGAATATTTTTAGAAAAATACACAAAATCGGGGATACGTAATACACATTAACGACGTGTTCAAGATAAATTTTTCATGATACGGCAACATTGAATATGACTTTTATCTTTTATCTTCTTTTCATGCTTTTCCAATGATTAATTATTACATATTTCTTACTCGGACAACGGGTCTCACATCGGTTGTATTTGTGCCCTCTTTGATCGTTACTTCGCTGTAATCCAACACAGTCTCCATATGGTCCATTCGATGACAATTACCGGCGCAGCCGCATTTCTCCACCACTTGGTAGATTTCATCACCTTGAAAACAGTGTGAAAATCTCAATTTGAATGACTTACAATCAATTTTTAACTCTCTTTCAGAATCCGAGTTTTAAATCTCGTATTTGCCATCGCAATGTTTACGTACCATTTGGCCCTTTGACGCTGATTGTATTATTTCGCACCGGCTTGCAACCAAGATCTTGAAAAATGTAAATACAACATTAAGATTTTTGGATTTTAAGGAAAATGAAATCAAATAAAAGTAAGGATAAATTATTAATCTTGTTTTCAATTATTTTGAATTGTGAAAAATATTGGAATTTCAGAATATTACTAATTTAGAAAGAGAGAACTATCGCTCTTTTGTTGCTCTCAAGATGCTGATAATAAGTACGTCAAAATAATCGTAGTGCCTGCCCAAAGATAAGGAGATCACCGTATTTACAAAAGATTTAATACCTTTGTCGCAATGACCGATGCAAACTCCGGTATCTACAACGGTCTGGTGCGGTGTGCCGGAATGCACGAGATGGATGTAGGATTCTCGTTTGCAGAATGTTTCCGGCAAACACTCGCAGGCATCTATAGCTTCGATGACGCGAACACCCTGCAACGTCGACACTCTCTCCAATTTGGCGGCCCTCGCACGACAACGGGAATCCGATGAGCATTTCTAGAAGCAAACGGAATACATCTGTACGAATAGTCATAGAAGAAAGTAGAATACATTACGTATCCATTGTTTGTTGTTTATCCAATTTCGCAATAATCGAACTAGCGATTCGTACGTTTTCACGCGATATGCGAAAAAGAAAAAATATTGAGAAATCTAAATGATTCGCAATTGTTTTAAACATATCCTCGTATATTGTTATCAAGAATATATAATATCGGCCGTTTCGATAAATCTCTCCCGCGACCGCTGTGCGTGCGCGAAATTTCGCATATAATTCCGGGATTTAGTGGCTGGACACTCCGGCGCCGCGCGGAGGAGCGGTGACCGCGGCGGTTCGACCTTCGAAGGACGCAAAACATATCGTACTCGGTCGTCTTGCGCATTTGGCGTGCAACGCCTCTACCTCGTTCGGTCCGGGTTCGCCATCCGATCGACTATCGCGCCATCGAGGTGCGTATGCGTAGCGTGGCTGCCGTAAAATCGCATCTCCGTGTCCACCGATCGGATTGCGTCACGTGACGAAAATAGCCCTCTTCTCTTTTTTTTTCTCTACTGCTAGCCGAAGATCCGGGAAGATATGCGGAGAAGACGAATGTTTGTCTTAATAAAGAATTTGAATTAGAAAACCCTTTCACTCTTTTTTCGAAAGAAAAAGATACTTCCTAAAACGAAGTTTGAGCGAAATCGTTTTGGAAAATTTTCATATCTACGTGTAGCGCTCGAGATACTTAAAGATTAATAGTTTTAAAGATAGTTTTTCTACTAAATAGCAAATAGTGGATATAAGAAATCATAGGGATTCCATAAGACTTGATTTGTGTGTGTCTTATGACTCGTAAAGAATGTTATCTTCTATTTTATCTCGTGTTGGGTAGTCTGATTTCGAGAGAAATCTTCAAATTCGGAGAGAAATACACATCTTACTTAAATTTTTTGAAACTATCATAGTGTACAAAAAATTTATTATTTCCATTATTAATATTAGTTATCTAATAATAATATTTCATATTTTAGAGAAAGTATTATACGATTTAAAAATTTATTTAGAATTATAAAATAAATTATAAAAGAAAACCTTGAAAATTAAAATTATTTACTTAGCTTCTTGTTGAGTAATATTTCGTATTTATTATAACTGAAATTTTGTTCGATAATAGTAACGCAACCGAATTTTGCAGTTGTCTTTTCTCAATGCAATGCAAGTTAGATTGTAATTAATAATAATCACATTATATATTTTATTATTGAAAGTAAAATATATTAAGAATAATTGTTTAAAATAGTAATAGCATTAAAAATAAAGTAAAGTAGCATTACTAAAATTGTTAACGAAGTCTACATTCCGCGTTTAAGAAAAGTTCTAAGGCAAGGACACCTATTACGTGATACAAATTATCGGCATAGAGATACAGACACATTCGGAAAGAAAGTGGCATTTATCTCGGGTATTTATCTCGATGTATCTTTTTATTATCACGTTAAAATTACCAGAAAAGTGTTGTACGACATTCTTCTCAATCGTATCTCAGAAATTAGATTTTTTAATTTCATGATTTGATCCCCCGAACGTGAATGAATTTACAAGTTTAGAATATATGATTCTAGAACACGAGGATATCTGTATCACAGTGACTCCCAAACGACCGAGCGAGCGGTGATCAAACGTTGAACCCTACAAGTGTTCTCCGAATTGTTCGGCAGGAATACGTTGCTGTCTTTATCAAATCTAAATACGCAAAATTTGCGAAGTATTATCCACAATTTTAAATCAATCGATTTATCATGCCACTAATAAACTAATAATAATATCTGAGAGTATCGGCTAAGTTTTGTCATAAAATTTATAAATCGTGTTTTCTCAATTGCAATAATGTAACAATAAGATTGATACCGTTGGATTTAATCTCTTTGATTTGTCCAGACTGTTGCTGATTTGATATTTATGTCAAGAAAGGAATCAAGTCTCTCACATGATTGGAGCAAGAGAAGGGAA